AAACCGTCACCACCTTCTGGGCCAGTGTGACCCATGTTGTCAGGCCAGAGCCCTGACAGGAGGACAGCGGAAGGATTACAGGTAATCAGAAGAGCCGCAGACAAACCGGAAGCCCTTTCAGTAGGTAGAGAGCAAGGCAGCACCCCCCACCAGCCCCCAGGCCTACAAATTAGCGTGGCCCCCACTCTTGAGAAAGACCCTGAACAAAAAAAAACCAAAGTCCAAAGTGAATCATTATTCACTTTACAAAAGGATTCTTTGCTTGACAAAGGGATTCTTTGAAAGGGCCAGAGCCCAAGGTAGACTGGAGCTTCGCTTTGTTTCATTATTTACTTCTGTGGGCCAGAGGAAGAGGGGGAGAAGGGAGTAACTTGCAGCTGAAAGTTTGTTAGAAAAGATGACAAAATTCCTAAGGGGAAGGCGTAGAGGGGTGGAGACAAGACTGTGCTTCTAAAACATTTGCCAGGAGAGGCCCTCGAGAAATCGAGCCAGGGCAGCTTTCAAACAGGAGGCAAGAGAGCCGAGTGCCTGTGGCCCGTCCCCCGGGAAGGGCACAGCACAGGAGGCGGGCAGCAGAGTTTCCAACAGGTCCCCACGGGGTGGACCCCAGAGCCATCAGGCTGCGAGGAAAAGCAGGGAGCAGGAAGGGGCAGCAGGAAGGCAGGAGGCCAGCAGCAGGCTCAGCAGGTGGCAGGGGTGTCACCCTTTATCAGGTGACATTTATTTATGAAGCGTCTCTTTGCATGTGCTTGTCATCCTGGGGAGGGATGCCCTGCTCTTGGAGAGTCTCAACCAGACCTTCACTCCACTCGGTCTTTTTCATAATTCCTACGAGGAACAAGAAACAAGCGTAGCAACAGCAAGAATATTTCCTGAGCGTGCGAACTAGCCATTGTCTCCTGTATCCCCTCAACCGCCCCGTGAGGGGGACATTATTCTTATTCCCATTTACCCATGTGGAGACAGGCACAGAGACGTAAGTAACTTGCCCAAGGTCACGCAGCTAGTAAGTAGCAAAGCCAGGATTCAGATACAAGTCTGCCCAACTTCAAAGCCTGTGAACACTAGGCTAAATGCCTGCCGCATCAGCCCATTTCACAGACAGAGATGCCGAGGAGGAGAGAATGCAAGCGAGTTGCACTGAAGCGGGGGACGGACTCTGAGGACCAGCTCTCCTGACACACCCAAGGCTTGTCTGACTTGTGATACCTCCCCTGGGAAGGCCAGCCAGCTTTCTTGGTGGGGTACGTGGACTGCTCTGTGGCCATTAAGTCACTTACCGGGTCTGGGCCTCAGTTTACCTCTCTGCCATTCATCAGTATAGTGTGAGTCCCCCACTACCTCGCTGAGAGAGAGAAGAACTGGGAAGAAACGTGGGGTAAGGTCCAGGGCTGTCATCAGGGAGCCCACGGGAGGAACAGGCTCAGTTCCAGCTCCAAAGATTCACAGAGATCCACAGGCTCTGGGTTGAGCAATGTGATGTTCACAGAGCAAAAGCCTAGGCAGCATCTCCAGGAGGCATCTGGTTCAATGGTCTGCCCACCAAGGTACACCTGGGAAACTCGGGGACTTCCTGACATGGTTGGCCTTCAGGGAATCAATTTCCAAAACCTCCACTTCCCCGTGGTGTCCTTCCACATACCAGTGTGCTGGGAACCATCGGAGCCCACCAGCTCTCTTTCGAGGTGGCCCTCCTCAACGCTTCCCTGAAGAAAGGCCCATTCCCCCAGCCACCCAACTTTACTCTGGTGCTTTGCCGTGGTAAAAGCCACCAAACAAAGGGACAACTCAAGAATGCAGCACTCCTGGGAGGAGTCTCCTGAGGATGGACATTGAGAAGGGAGCTGGCCTTATTTTACCAAGACCTTCTCTAGCTTATCTACCCATCTGTTTATTTTAGAATTAGGAAGGAAGGAAGCTGACACAGGGACACCTGTTTAACACATTTATTGGAATAAAAAAATGGAGTCAGAGGTTTTCCAACACAAAGCATGATTTCGCTGACGGTCTAACAACGAGGTCCAGCTTTGCCAGTTAGGAATTACGGCAGACATTTTCCATAACTGTGTGGGCGGAGTTTGCCGTTCTAGGCTTTGACAAAATAAGCCTGGAAATACGCTCTGCTTAAAGTTATGAGAAAAAAATTTTACATGTGAAGTTTTAAATGTGTAAGGAGATACAGTTTTTCAAAATTCTTTTGGCAGGTGTGGGAGCAAAAAAAGTTTGAAGCCTGTGTCTTTACTTCCCTGGAGCCACACTCAGAGGCTGTAGCTTCCACACCACCCACTGGGCCATGAGAGTAATAGGTTCTCAAGAGAAGGCAGCCGCAGTGCATATGACAAGCATTCGACCTGGACCCAGGGTGCAAGTTTATTTCTGCTACTTCTTAGCTGTGTGGATCTGGTTAAGTCACCCAAACTCCCTGAGATTCAGCTTCCCCATAAGCAAATGGGAATAATACCATATGAAACATATTAAAAATCCTGATGTGGGGCTTCCCTGGTGGCGCAGTGGTTAAGAATCCACCTGCCAATGCAGGGGACACGGGTTCGAGCCCTGGTCCGGGAAGATCCCACATGCTGCAGAGCAACTAAGCCCGTGTGCCACACCTGCTGAGCCTGCGCCCTACAGCCCGCGAGCCACAACTACTGAAGCCCGCACGCCTAGAGCCCGTGCTCCGCAACAAGAGAAGCCACCGCAGTGAGAAGCCCGCGCACCACAACGAAGAGTAGCCCCCGCTCTCCGCAACTAGAGAAAAGCCCGCGCGCAGCAACGAAGACCCAACGCAGCCCAAAAAAAAAAAAAAATCCTGATGTGATGATGACAACATTAAATGTTATCACGAACAGCACCAGACAGTAGCCAACCAGCAAGTGTTTTCTGTTTGGCTTGGACAACCTGATGGCCTCTATCTCCAGATGGTACTAATAACTGATATTTACTGAGTACTTACTATGTGCCAGGCACTGGACTAGGTGCTTCACAGGCCCCAGTTCATTTTGTCTTCGCATCCATCCTATCGGCAAGGTGTCATTCTTATTCCTCGATTTATAAGCACAGAAAGCTTACACACTTGCCCAGCTCAGTCGGCTAGAGGTTAAAGGCCCAGTGGGTCTGTTCAGTTCCAGAGCCCGTGCTCTAAACCCTCCCTATTCAAAGTGCGGCCTCCGACTGGCCGCATCTGCACCGACTGGCACCTTATTAGAAATGCAGGATCCCAGGGCCTACTCCATACCTACTGAATCAGAATCTGCATTCTAGCAAAATCTACGGCTGATTCCCATGCACATCCCTGTTGGAGAATCCCTGCTTTAGATCACCAGTCCAGCTGATTTACAACCTGGTTTTATCTTGCTGAAGGCAATATTAGAATGTTTGCTTTCTCCACACGTGCACACACACAGCTGGCAAGTAAAGCAAGCAAGGTGGTTAAGGGTTACAATAATCCATCAGTGACACATGCAAAAGGCGTATTTTAAAAAGGGCTGGGAGGACTCACGTCAAACACGCATCAGTGGTTACCTCTGAGGAGTGGTATGGGATGGGGAGAAGGGGTGGTGGAAGGGGGGGCCATTTGTTTTATTTGTTTATTTTTTTCGTTTTTAATATTTATTTATTTATTTGGCAGCACCGGGTCTTAGTTGTGGCATGCAGGATCTTTAGTTACGGCATGCGGACTCTTAGTTGCAGCATGTGGGATCTAGCTCCCTGACCAGGGATCGATCCCAGGCCCCCCGCCTTGGGAGCATGGAGTCTTAGCCTCTGGACCACCAGGGAAGTCTCAGGCCATTTGTATTATTTGAAATTTTTAATAAAAAGAATGGAGTTGTTTATTGGTTACACAATTTTTCATAAAAAGCATGACAGTTCCCCGGAAGGCCAGGAAGGGGGTCCCTAGGGAAGTGTTGGTAGAAGAAAAGGGTTGCTGGGCTTGTAGTCATAAGACCTGGATTCAAGGCCAGGCTCTGCCCCTAATTTGCCTCGGGACAGCAGGGCTCTCACTTGGCATCTGTGGGCCTGTGTTTCCCCCACTATAAAGGGGGGTCGCCCCACGTACCTTTCCAAGCCCCACAGCATGGGTGCAGGGACCAACCGCGCAGCGAAATGCACAAGAGGCCTGTGTGAAGGGCAGGGTGCTGTGTTTCTTGGAAGGAAAAGCGACGAAAGAAAGCAGTGAAACATTCCCCCTCACTCATTCCATTCCCCAAACACAGGCAGTCCATGACTTTATAAGGAAGACACACACAGCAACCTGGATTTAGAGTCCGTGGGAGCCCCAGGCTGATTTTCAAATCCTTATTCGAACTTAAAAGTTAGGTTTGGACGTGGTTCAAAACACAGAAAGAAAGGGCTTTCTCAGCATCTTGCCCATTCTCTTTGCTCCTCGCCGGGTTTCTCTGCAGGCTCAGGACTCGGGGATGCTGTGTTGGGGCACAGATGCTCCCCTCTGCTGTGCTTTCCATGCCTCCCCACACACGGCCCCAGCCCCGGCGCTGCCTCCCAGCTGCTCTGAGGGTCCACAGTTCGGCTCACTCTGGCCGATGCCTTAGTTTCCCCACTTTTATCTTAGAACCGGAAGGAGCAGCAAGTCCTCCCCTAGCTTGTCTCGGGGGAGGGGTGGAGTCTGGGTCCACAGGGATAAAGGCACTCGCTCCAACCCACAAAGCTAGCTTAAAATAAATAGAGCTGGGTCGGGTTCTCTATGACCTTTGGAAATACCTCCTTTTCCTTAAGATTTTTCCATCATTCCTTTGCAACTTGTCCCCTCATTCTGAGAGATGCACAAATCTGAAGACTAAAAGCTGCTGTGCTTTTCCTCAAACTGAATGATCCTAAAACCACACAGTCTGAAGGTATCATTGAAACTGAGCCAGAAAAGAATCCCCTGTCAGATTTTCCAATGAGAACCAGGCCCTTCGAAACCATTATGAGCTTTAGCTACAGTGAAGTAATGGCAAAAGAAGCCTCCACGCAGGCAGTTCCAGCCCCAATATACTTACGTGGCCTTAGGCACCTAACGTCACCTCTCCGAGCCTCAGTTTTCTCATATGCAAGACAGTGAGAGAACCGGCACCTTTCGGGTTTAAAAAGAAGATTCTAGATAAGAATAAAGCCTTTCATGCAGAGTAGGAGCTCAGTAAATAACAACTATTACCATCATGGTCATCTCACTCAGGACCATCCATCCCAAAGACAGGGGTCTGTCTAAATCAGTTCTCCACTCTTGTCACACATTAGAATCAACTAAGGAAAGTTTTTTCCTTTTTAAAAAATACCAGTGCCCAGACCTTATCCCCAGTGACTCTGATTCAGTCGTGTGGATTAGGCCCGAGGGAATCAGTACATTTCTTACAGCTCTCCAGGTGATTCTAACGTGCACCTGTGATTGAGAACTGTGCTCTGAATCCTTGCTTCTCAACCTTGAATGTGCACACGAATCTCCTAGGGGCCTTGCTAAAATGCAAGTTCTGACTCAGCAGGGTTAGCGTGAGGCCTGAGAGTCTGCATTTTCAACTAGCCCCCAGGTGATGCCAGTGCTACTGCTTCATGGCCTCAGGAGGAACGGCACCCAAAACTCAAGGTCTTGGGCAGATGGCTGGCAAGTTTATAAGATTCTTCTCTGGAAGTCTCAAAGGCTGGCTCTGTCTAGCCAGGCGAGAGCTCACTGCCTCCTGGAAGTAGACAGCCAACTATATGCCCTCAGACTGGGGCACAAGGACCCAGAACCAGAGCTTGTCCTCAGATGACTCTCTCTTTGGCTTCATGTTGTTGTTTTTTGGCGGTGGTGGGTGAGGCAGGGAGGGGTGGTCTTAGCAAGAGCCTGCAGACACGCGTGGCCACAAAGGCACACTAGCAAGTTAATCATGACACCGCACCCTGCATTCCTGTGGAGTTGCCCTCTCAACACCGTCGAAGACAAAAGCCAGAAGGAAAGGGTCCTAGTTACTTTCGCTCAGATCGGCGGGGTGTAGGAGGGCATGGCCCGACCTGGCACCATGGCCCATCCAGAAGGAGCTGAAAACAACTGCACCTCTGGTCAGCCTGCCTCCTCTGATCAGCCAAGCAGGAAAGCTTCCTGCCTGGAGCTGGCTAGGTAAGTGCACAGTTGAAGGGACTCCAGGGAAACATGAGGTGGGAAGGAGCTGGACGAGCAAGTCCCTCCGGCTTTGAGGGTGGTGCATTTTGTGACCCTAAACAACATCAGCAACCCAACACTGACTGGGCACCTATTATGTGCCAGAGAATTTTACAGAAATACTCTAATTGGATCCTCACGTCAACTTTGCAAGTCAGGCATCACTGCTTTCATTGTACAGGTGAGAAGACTGAGGCTCAGTGGATAAGGAATGGAACTTACAGAGGACAGAGTCAGGATCGGAAGCCAAGCTCAAAACTTAAAACCTCTCGATGCCTCAACTTACCCTTTCACAAGAAAGGGAAAAGCGTATAAATGAACAGAACTGAAAGTGGCTTCGTTATTAATCATTACCCTCATCAGAAGTGTAGTTAAGAGCTACTGGGAGAAACGGTTGGTGTCTGTCCTGACGTTCAGGTGGCTAAGCCCAGACCCCTGCGGTCCCCAGGCCCTCGAGGGGAGGGTGAAATGCACCTGACGACTCCAGGGTGAGTACAGGAGCCTTCAGGGGAAGGCCCGGCTGTGGGACACAGCTAGGGTCCAAAAACCCAACAGCTCAAGGAAGGAGACAGAGCTGAGTCACAGCTGCATGTTCCCGGCACCCGGGCCACCATGCCAGGCCCAAGGCTGGAAATGTGCCCATGGGTCCTGAGGGCCAACCTGAACCTGTGCCCCATCGCCTCACCCCTGCATAAGTCATGGAGGCTTCCTGAAACAGCCAGGGGCCGTTCAAGGACTACGGCACCAAGGGCCAAAGAGGCCATGCTGGGAGCCTCTGTCCCATTGGGCCCCAGGCCCCTCCTCCCAGCACCCTGGCAGCTCTGGATTAATATTACACCCATACAACCCCGACAGTGGCTCCTGACCATCCAGCTCCGTGAAGTTCTGAGGCTTAAAATACAGACAAGCTGGAGATGGGGGAGAACAACAACAGGGGATGAACAAGGAAGCAACAGTGTAGCCACTGAAAATGTTTTAAAACCACACCATTTCATTAAGAATGCTCATTCTACAGTGTTACATGAAAAAGCTACATACAGAAGTATGTCATCAGTAAGATTACAACTAATTTTTTTAAGAATCTATGCACATTAAAATAAAGAACAGAGGAATATACAATCAAATGTTATTGGTGGCACCATTTAAATGATCAGAATGATCATTTTTGTTGGAAATTAAGCATTTTCCAGTTTTTCTGGAATGTAATGTAGAATGTAAACTACACAGGGGTCAAAGGAGCACATTCTTTTTTTTTTTGATTGAAGAACAGTTGATTTACAAGAGGAGCACATTCTGACTAAAGTCCGTGTGTCTGAGGAGTCAGGATGAAGACTTGCAGAGAGGGCACAGCCCAGGCGAGACAGTTCACAGCAATGAGATGGAACAGGCACATCTGCAGTCCAAGGCCACGGGGCTATGGTGCTCAGACCTGGGCCAGCGGGCCAGTGGGAGACCCTTCCCAAGGGGCTGGAATTCTCCAGGGAATATAACAAAAAGCCCCTTAATCCTTAAAGTGCTCTAAAGGACTCTATTGAAAGGCGCCTACTGAAAGAGTGCAGTCAGGTGCTCTGCCCCACGCTGGGGGCAGCAGACAGCTGCCACTGCAGGTTCCAGCGTCCCTCGAGACTGCCGGCCGGCCGAGGAGGATTCCTGCCTGTGCTGCAAAGCCCCACCAGCACAAGGACAGAAGAGAGCTGAGCTTCACCGTATGGGGCTCAGGAGCCTCCTGGGAATGCCGGCGGGAGGGGGAATGGCAGGTCCCTAAGCCCTGTGCAAATGTGAAGGAGGGAAGAGGTTTAAAGTGAAGGAACAGCACCAGCTGTCGCCAAAACAACACTAATTACAGGGGCTGTGCCGCCTGCACCAGGCCGGGCTCTGCAAGCAAAGATCCTCCCAGGGGCCCGGCAGTCACCCAGCCGCCTGTGCTTTGCTGCCTTGTGGATGGGCTGCAGGCCTGTCACCCAGCTGGGCAGGGAAGCCCAGGTCCAGAAAGCAACCTCCACAGGTCCTGCTTACTGAGACGTCCCCATCACAGGGTCAGTTGCCTGGGCTGCGGGCCAGGGCCAGGAGACACTGGAATGTGGACAGGACTAGAGAAGCTCCTTCTCTGGAGTTTTTTTTTTTTTTTTTTTTTTTAATTTTGGCTGCATTGGGTCTTCGTTGCTGCTCGCAGGCTTTCTCCAGTTGCAGCGAGCAGGGGTTACTCTTCATTGCAGTGCGCGGGCTTCTCATTGCGGTGGCTTCTCTTGTTGCAGAGCACGGGCTCTAGGCGTGCAGGCTTCAGTAGTTGTGGCTCGCGGGCTCAGTAGTTGTGGCTCGTGGGCTCTAGAGTGCAGGCTCAGTAGTTGTGGCACGCGGGCTTCAGTAGCTCTGGCTCGTGGGCTCTAGAGTGCAGGCTCAGTAGTTGTGGCACACAGGCTTAGCTGCTCCGTGGCATGTGGGATCTTCCCAGACCAGGGCTCGAACCCATGTCCCCTGCGTTGGCAGGAGGATTCTTAACCACTGCACCACCAGGGAAGCCCTCTGGAGCTTTTAAAGACCTAAGTATCTGGAATAGCAACAGTAAAGTAGGAAAAAATTGATGTCCTTGTCCCTTGAAGCTGGGGAAGGGGCAGAGTCAAGTGGAGAGACCAGAAATGCCAGTTCTCAGGGGCCCGTCACTCGCAGCTCACAGCTCATCACGACAAGGAGCTCAAGTTCACCATCACTGACGGGGCGTGGTGGGGGGCGGTGGGCCCTGGACGTCCTCCTGCCCAAGGCGTTTCTGCTGAGACCCTGGGGTGGACTGAAAAAGGCCCACACTCAGGAAGCCAAGGAGGTAGGAAGCGCCCAGGTCCAGACCCGGGTTTTGTCCCTGTTCTGTGGCTTCCTAGCCATGGGGCTGGTGCCAAGCCGCTTCACTCCCCTAAATTAGGTGTAAGCGGTACCCATCCTCGCTATTGCATCAAAACGTGTGCGGATCCACGAGAAATGCATGCGATGGTATTTCTAAGACTATCAAATTCTAAACACATGGAAGGTGGCATTATGACTAGTGGGGCGTCATTATAAAGCGGGGGCATTTTGCTTCTCTCTCATGACAGCATGCAAATTAGAAGCAAAAACAGACACATGCCTTGTTTTTCAAGCCCTTCACCCACACACTCTAAAACAGGACTGGATGGGGCAGCCTCAGGAACATAGGATGGGGCTCCTGAACCGGAGGGGAAAGGGAAAGGGAGAAAGGAGTAAACAAAACCAGCGAGACTAGGGAAGAAGTAAGAAGGTTAGAACCCAGATTCTGGCCTCCTGGGAACGAGCCCCGCGTCCCTGGGAAAGAGGCCGAGATGAAAGAGAGGCGCAGCTGGGGGAAAACAGGCCGTGAGAACAGGATGCGATTGTTCACCAGGACAGGCTGAGCAGCCACCCCGGCTTTGTGCGTTGATGTAATTAAGGCCCGGTAGGTGGGGGCCGAGGTTTGGAATCCTTTAGCTCCTCGCTATTCTCCCGGGACAGCTGAGCCCGAACTTGGGGTTGGAACTGGGGGTGGCTCAGCTAAAAGGGGGCAGCGGCCCAGGCGGCGAGAGGCGAAGCCCTCATTCCTGCCTGAGAGGCACTTCCTTCTCCCCAGTACTTTCCCCGGGAGTTCCCTGAGGGCCGGCCTCTGCCCTGACCCCAGTTAACACTCCCACTGATTGCTGGGGCTGCGAGAGCCCAAAAGCCCAGGGAGCAAAAGAGCCTGAGTTAATTAAGGAGAGAAAAAAAGTCTGCTTCTCTGTTCTTCCTTCCCCTCCTCCCTGCTCCTCTGGGTCGGGCGTCTAGTTTCAGGGAAGCTCCAGAGGCAGGGATCTTCAGCCTGGAGCCAAAACCAACAATGGCACATGGAAATTACTGAACGGGAGCAGCTGGGCCGCGAGGGCTTCTAGAAGCCTTGCTCCAAAGCTGTCCAACTTTCCAAATTTCCCAGAGGTATGTCAGGGGGGCCACTCCACACCCATCCAAAGGAAAGCCTCATGGTCTCAGTCCAAATACTGTTTGCTCTCAAATAAGCACAGCACAAGTTCTTGCTACCAAGGTGGGATTCCTCCAGAGGGCAATGGGCATTCCGTAAGCCAAACAGTAATAATGCAACATAGGCATTTGACAAATATTACCTCATCTAATTTCACAACTACCCTATGAGGTAAGTACTATCCTTGTCCCGACTTTATAGATGGGGAAACTGAGGCTTAGAGGAGATAATTAATGTACCCAAGTTCAACAAGCCAGCAAGCAGCAGAGGAACGATTCAGACCCCTGCACTCTGACTCCACAACCTGCCACTTGGATATTCTAGTACACTAGTAACAAGCCTTGTGGAGCTTCTTAGCCAAGGGTCCTTGAGGTTTCGATGAGGTCCAGGGATCTCCCCCCAACGACATCAAATGCACAATTGAATGTGTTTGGGTGTGCATACACTCTTCAGGGTGAAGGAGGGTGTCAAAGTTCTCTTTAGATTATCAGAGGGGTCTGGAACCCAAAAAGAGGTTAACAAACATGGACCAGTGAGGTGACACCCCAATCAATGCTTGCTAAGTTGACTCCAGAACACAGATCTTCTAACTTGAGTCCTCTACTTTTTCACTTCATCTCCTCGTTCTGATGAAACATCCAAGCGGGAAGCTGAATTTCTCCGCAAAGAGATGATGCACTGGCCGTTTAGAATTAGGCAACTTAGCACTGAAAATCCACCACCCGGCCTGCTTGGGAGAGGGTATCCAAGAGATACACTGTGGGGGAGGAGAGGGAAGAGTTAACAGTCCGGCCCTGCGGGTGAAAGGGATTTCCTACCCACTGCTTCTTACTTCTTTCCACCGCTGCAAAACAAGTTCCAACATTGTCCCAGTTCTGATCCTTGGTTTTGCTTGGATTCACATAGAGGAAAATACGTTACCTGCAGCCCTAAACTATCAGAAATTCACAGGGGGAAGAAAGTTTCTGTTCCAAACTAATTTTCTACACTTTTAAAGACAGCTGTCTATCTAAAAGCAATGGTATTCCCTTAACTGCAGCCACTGTCCTCATTTTCAGATGCTCCAAGACAGCAAACAGTAACAATGCTGCTGCTGCCCACAACTGACAGCCAGTATTATCAAGCACGCATTCTGCGCTTCACCCACGCTTACCTCATTTAACCCTAACTCCAACCCTAGAAGGCAGAGGCATTATTATCTCTGACTTACAGATGACAAAATTAAGACTCAGAGAGGCTAAACAGCTGCCCAAGAACACACAGCAAGTTAAGTGACAGAGCCAGGGTTCAAACCCAAGTCTATCTGACCCAAAGATGGGGCCCTAGACCAGGGCCACTTAAAGCAGGTCTGCAGACCATTCAGAAACTGTTAGTCGTGGATCCTTGGCAAGATAAGCACAGGAAAAGAGAGTAAGTAAGGATTTAGAGACGTTTCTAGCAATTTGATGTTGCTACCACATTCAAGCATGCGACGGGAGACTTGCCTCTTTGAATAGGGAAAGCATATAGACCAGTTAAGACTTGTGCAGAGGGTCATGCTCGTCGGGCCACATATCCGTCCCCAAAAGAATGAAATAAACCACCTGTCCTTCACCTCAGAGTTTGAGAAGCACTGCCCTAAAGCGCTCTGCAAAGACGGGCACCTACGCCCCTCAAATGAGGCCACCCCCCGCAGTTGCCCCCCTCAGCGAGCAGTCTTCTAGCAAGGCACTCCTCAGGCTTTTACGTGCCCGCAAACCACCTGGGCCTCTTGTTAAAATGCAGACTGACTTGGGCAGCCCGAGGTGGGGCCCAAGGCTCTCCATTTCTCACCAGGTGGCGTGGGTGCTGCTGGTCTGGGGACCCGACTTGAGGAACAAGTTTCTAACGGCACATCACACAGGGGCAGATAAGGCTGGTTCCAGAAACTCCACTGGACAAAGCCAGCCAGAGCCCAGCAAAGGGCCCGAGAACAGGCTCTCCCCCCGGGACTGGCTGTGAGGGGGCAGAAGGCCCTGCATGGGACCGGGTTCCTATCACAGGCAGCCCTAGCAACACACCTTTCCCACCCCAACCTGAGCCTGGGACACCAGGGGCCCTTTTTTCCTGAGTTGCAGAAAAACTGCCTTAAGGGCAGAGAAGAGCGGCTCTGAGGCATTTGCTACCTATAACCAGACCCGAGAAGAGGAGGTATTCTGATTAAACTGTGCCTCCTGCCTCAGCTCTGCTCATGCCACCTGCAGCTGGATCTCAGCCAGTGATGCCCAGGGAGGATTACCACACACGTGTGTTTGGGTCATCCCAGGAGGGCAGAAACGGCTCCTCAGTGGCCACTCCTGTGGCCAGAAAAGGCCACGAGCAGGGGAACTCCAAGGGGAAATGGTTCCCACTTCCTTCAGGTTACCTGTCTTATTCCCTGGAAGTTCTTGACCGTAGAGACTTTCCTCCTTATTACCAGTCTGTCTCTCCTAATTTAACTTATGGCCCAAGGACTGAAGGACTATGTACTTATTAAAGGGGCAATTCACAGTAAAAGGCCCAGATCTCCCACTCATTCAGGGATTCACTGTTTCATTCAAAAATATTTATGGGGCAACTGCCATGTGTCAGGTACCATGATGGACTCGAAAGGCGAGGGACACTTCCTCACTCTTCTCTAAGAAGTAGGGAATAAATGACCGAAGGCGCCATGAAGCCAAGCCATTAACTAAGGCAAGGGGCACTGCATCTTCCTGGAGCCAGCGGGAAGGCGAGCTTCTGCACAGTAGCTCTCATATATGCATGGACTTAGGGAAAGTCAGTCCGAGGGTGGGGCTGGGCACTTGAGGCCGATGGTACCTGACAGGGGCTCCTTGACTTGACTCACAACAGGGCGCAGAAAGGCCTGAGGGTTACTTACACACACAGCAAACACAGAGGGGCTTGACGTCCAAACCAAAAGTGTCTGGACAAGACACAGACCCAACTCTGGGGAAAATCAGGCTGAAAAACTAACTCCGGATCTCATGAAACCACGAGGCTCTTTCTTCTTTGCGAAAGCAAACCACATTCTCCTACCTCCAAACCCTGCCATGTGCTATTTCCCTACAAGAGGCTCTCACCAATGTCAGTAGCATTACCACCCCTAACTGTGATAGCCAAAAACGTCCCCAGACACTGCCAGTGTCTCCCAGGGGACAAAATCATCCCCATTTGCAAACACTGCACTGGAGGGATGGCCGGAAACCCTGGCTGTGCATGAGAAACACCTGGGGATCTTCTAAAACTCACCCATGCCTGGGTCCCACCCCACACACATTCTGATTCTGGTCTAAGATTCTATACGTAAACAAGAATGTCTGTCACTTTACAGGCCCTTAATGTTGCTTTAATGTGCTGGTTGACTCATCCATTAGACTGACTCTCTCCAGAAGCATGAACTACATCTCTTATTTCCCTCTCTCCACAAAGCCCCAGACAATGCTCCATGCAGTGCCTATTTTATGCTAATCAGAAGAGTCTGGAAAGTTCTTGAGCCCTCTCCACCCCCACTTCAAATGGCACCATCTCCCCCGGATGCAATAGTAGATGACAAGAAGAATCTACAACCTCCAAACCTCAAAAGCAGGAGGGGACAGAGGAGACGGGGGCCGGTGAGAATGCCGCCACCTGACTTGGGTCTCAGTGTCCAACCTCTGAATGAGTCCCCCGTCATGCTCTCCTGTGGGTGTGAGGACCATTTGCTAAATGGCCAAGACACCCACCTATGTATACTCAAGTTTATTGATCCCCCACTTTTCTTGACCAGAATGGGGGCAGCAGCAGCAGTAGAAACTCCAGTCTACCTGATTGAACGCTGTTTTCCTCAGGCTGACGGTGACCTGAAAATAAATGCAGGCCCAGAATCAGCTCCTTTCTGAGCTGGAAAGGTTAGGATCTTTCCCCACACCTCGCTCAAGGATCCCCAGGGGGATCTGGAGAGCTGATTGACGGAGGCCTGGCCAGTGTTAACAGTTAACTGATGTAGTCAAGTTCATGTCCTGCCTCCCCATCTCCCCACACCTGAGGCTGCCCCTGCTGGCCACCTCTTCGGACAAGGCCAAAGAGGGATGGAGTGTCAAGGGATAAGATCTGGCTATTAACCCCTAGCCGCCCTAAGTGGAAATGCATTCATCATTCACACACTCGTTAACAAATCTATAGAGACTACCTTAAAAGTGATACAGGTGCTTAGAGGGCAGACATGCCATTCTTCCCAATTTTTATACTTGAGTTAAAGACAAAATGAAGGGAGGGAAATCCAGCGGCCAAGCTCCCCCAAAGACAGCAAAGGCTATTCAAGCTCCCAAGATCAGCTTTCTCACTAAATTTCACTGGCTAATACGTAAGAATGTAAATTGCCATTTGGTTACATTACACTGAACGAATGACTTAGTATTTTCTCTGATATTTTCTCATTTGCTATTCATTGCCCAAAGGATGCGTGAGTCTTAAAGATCTGCTTCAGGTGGCCCTGGCTAGCTTGCTAAAATCCGTCTAGGGCAGGCGTCCGCAACCCCTGGGCCGCGGATCGGTAGCCATCCGCGCGGCCAGTTAGGCACCAGGCGGCACAGCAGGAGGTGAGCTGCGGGCGAGTGAGCGGCGGGCGAGTGAGCGGCGGGCGAGACAGCCGAGCTTCATCTGCGGCTCCGCATCGCACGCACAACCGCCTGAACCGTGCCCCAACCCCCCCAACCGTCTGTGGAAAAATTGCCTTCCACGAAACCGGTCCCTGGTGCCAAAAAGGTTGGGGACCGCTGGTCTAGGACACCGAGGCCTTCCATTCTTGGAGGCCAATAGGATAGGGATTTTTTTTTTTCCAAGCTTCCTTCCCTCCCCTCAGTTACACACAGACACACACACCCTGTTGCCTGGAGACTGAACACATTCCTCATGCTTACGTTTCTTTTCATTCTCCAGAAGCAGGATCTGTGGAAACTGGGGCCTCCAGGAAACAAGCCTGGGGCGGGGGAGGAGGGGACCAGGAGTGACACTTCCTCATCAACAGGCCACCCCCACCCCGCTACCCCCCTTCCCTCCCCGGGTCTGAAAAGCCCGCTGGCTGCAACTGAACGGCTCCCACAGGGAACAAGGCCCCCTTTGAAAGCCCGTGTTGACCGCAGCCCGGCCGGGGTTGCCATGGCCACGGTCCTCCCGGCAGCCCGGAGCCGGCGCAGCGCCGGGACACCCGTCCTGACCCCCTCCCCGGGACCCCGCGGGCCCCCGACACCCCTCTCCTGCACCCCGCAGCTGCTGGAAGCGCCGATTTTCCTCAAATCAGAAAACATCCTCCTAAAGGGGACGAAAGGGGATTAAGTCTCCCCCCGGAGCAGGCCGGGGGCGCCTCCCTCCGGGCCCTGCCTCCCCGCCCGGCCGTCCGCTCACGGGGACAGGGACCCGCACGACCTCCTTCTGTCATTCATTCTCGCAGTGCCCGGGGCCCAGCGGCCAGGGAGGTCGGGAGGGGCCGGCTTGGGCTCGGCCTCGGCCTGAAGCCGCGGGCCGCCGGGATCCCGGGCCTGACGGCGGCAGCCGGGCAGCTCCAGCCTCGCCAGGCCCACGTTCCTCCCGGTCCCTCCCCCCGCCCCCCGCCCCCCTCCGAGAAGCCAGAGGGAGCTGGGCCTCTGAATAATTCAGCCCTCAAATTGCTCTGTGGTCGGAAGGGTTTCTTCATTTATTTTTTAACTCTCCAGGATCTGCAGTTTCACCACGGGAAGCACTTTAATCCCAAACGTGGATCTGGTTTGAGACCCGGGGCCTCCCAGGACTGCAGGGAAGGGGGTCACTGAACTTCCAGAATCCAGCCAACCGCCCACCCAGCGCCAGGGCTGGGAAGCGGCTGCAGGTCGGGAGGAGGGCGCAGGCCTCCAGGGAGGAACTGAATTACTAGAAAGCCCTGAGCATCAGCCCCCAGGCTGCCTCTAGTGGGCCATGCCCAGCCCCCGCCCCCCAGCTTCCCAACCTCCCTCCCCACAGTCCTAATGTTCAGTCTGACTCAAGAGGCCTGAGCACACAGTTACCACACGGCCGCAGGTCCCTGGCAGCGGGTAGCTTTGGCTTCCGTTAATCATGTTAGCTAATGTTTTACTGAGCCTTCATGTCATATAACCCTCACAATAACCTAATGAGGTAGGTACTATGAATATCCTCATCAAACAGACTGGAGGAGGTTAGGAAATGTCCCCAGATCATACAGCTAGCAAGTGAAGGAGGATTCACACCCAGCTGTCTCATTGCAGACTGCAAGCCTTAATGCCCATGTTACATGGCCCAAGCATACGCTGCACACAGCGTCCTCAAAGAGCAGAACTCAGCCCGCAGAGGTGAAGAGGCTTGCTCGTAGTCACACAGCCCACTGGGGCAGTGTCGGACGAGCACTGAAATGCCGTAATGTGGGCTAACATCCTTTCCACAATCACAGTGTCAACTACCGAGGCAGGTGAGAGCACACTCCAAGTATTCCCTCTTTTACAACGTTACGGTCTAACGGCCTATAATCGTAGCTTGACCCCTGGCAATGCCCCCCACGCTAGTCCTGTCCACTCCCTCCAGTCTCTGCTCCATGACCTTCCAACAAACAGCTCCCCTGCCTCCACCAAAACTTAAACCCTCTCCCACAGCATTATAATCTCTCCCATCCCCCTCCAGGGCAGTGCGATCTCCAAGACTCCTAACGAGAAACCCCACACCACCCTGCCAGCTCATATTTATGCAGCACTTTAGAGTTCTCAAAGCGCTCTTACAGACACCATCCAATCAACTCGACAACCCTTGAACTAGGTAAGCACCAGCACCTTTCTGAGGACTGCCCCCACCCCCACCCACAGGGGACAGCCCCCAAGCCAGGTGGTACCATATGACCATGTGTTCCTGGCCATCACTGCTTGGACCAGCAGGAGACAGCTGACACAAAGGAACAATCAGACTCTTTCCTCAGGAATCTGAATCGAGGTTCTGAGATACAATCCAGTCTGATAGTTACTGGAAGGAGGATGGGTATATTTGGGGGCTGAGGACCCATGACATCTGGCACACATCCACGGATGCAGTGGCATCCTCCAGTTCCAGGCACTTGGGAGGCCAGCCGTATTTCCTGCCCTTGATTCCTCCATTCCCCCGTGGCTTCAAATAGCTCAAGCTGGCTTCTGTTACTTGCAGTCAGTAGAGTCTGAACTAACAGATGGGTGGATAATTATCCTCCTTTTTCAGATGAGGAAAGAGGCTCACAAAGGTGGAGTGACCACATGAATATCACATGACCAAAATGTAGTAAAGGAGAGGTTAAAATCCCTGCGAAGTGACTCTCCTTCAGTGCCATCTCTTGCCTCCTTCCCTGGATTAAAGAAAGTGGCAGGTGCTCCCTTCTTGTTAGTGTTTAAAAAAAAAAAATTATAACTGAGGATAAGTGATTAGGCTGGAGGCACTCCAGTGGTTTAAAGCCAGAGACAAGAAATACAAAATCCTCTCCTTTGAAACCATGAAGACAACCCTTTGCTCCTCTACGTTTCCCAGCCTCCTTTGCAGTTAGGTTAGAGCCGTGTGACCAGTTCTTGACAAATTAAATGCACACAGAAGTAACAGGTGTCAGTTCCTTGCTAAGGCAGTTAAGAGCCAGGGGCTGGGGAACTGTGATGGCCCCATATTCCAGATGGTGTGGCTACAGGTGGGGGAGGGCTGGCTAACCCACGTCAGACTCTCCACGAGCACAAATGAACCCTAGATGGTGTCAAGCCACTGGGATGTCAGGGTCTGATTATTACAGCAGCACAGTCTAGCTCCTCTCCTGGCTGAAACACACGAAGCATTCAACCGGGGCCCTTCAGCACATTTCTCTGGTCTGCAGGACGCTCTATTTGTTTGTCTAACATTCACTTGTTCAACAAATATTTCTAGAACGTCAAGACTAGATGCTGTAACGTGTCCGTACAGCCAAGAGCACAGTAGTGAAAAAGACCCAATCCCTCTCCTCAAGATGCGCCCTATCTGGTGACCCACAGGCCCTACATTGGCACTAAAAGGAGCAGTCCTACAGGTGTGAAAGCAGGACCTCCCACCCAGCCACTGGCTAAACTGAGCCCAAGAAAATGTAAGCTTCCAGGAGGCAAAGACAGCTTGTCCCAGCAACTCCGGGAGGGTAGCAGCCAAGACTGAGTTCGCACCGGGTTTTCATACCCTGGGTTCTACCAGCTCCCCTCCTGCCAGCCATGCGGCCACACACAAGTGCCTCCCTTGCCCTGGGCACAGAACAGAGGGGAGAGGGCATCAAGGAGGAGTCATCAAGAGAGCAGGTGGCTGGTAGAACACAGGAGCAGCAAAAGACACGGCTCATCTGCCCTCACCCTCTTCTGCAGCAAGAGTTATCTCCTCTGGGAATTACACTCCTGCTTAATTTATTTTAGCCCCCGAAGTCCCCAACAGCTGAGCTTTTTCCCCCTGACCCCATGTAGTTGAGGGCCAACCAGAGAAATCATCACTCTGTCTCTTTCTGCCAAAAGCTAGATGAGGAGACAAGTGAGGCAGGTAGGGCCACCACATAGAGTTGTACGGGCTGTTCACTGCACAAGGTGCCCATCCAAAGGGGCAAATGGGGCTGGAATCCCGCCTATGCTCTGCTTACCAAGCTGCATACCCTGGAGAAAGGGTCCCTTCTTCTAATTCACACAAAGGTGTCTGCTCTATACCGCAGCCCCAGAAGCACTGGAGCAGGGGCTTCTCCACAAGGAGCGAAGAAGTTTGGTGATGGGTCCGTGGGAATGTACTGTACTAGCCTCTCTCGGTTTGGAGTCTATTTGAAAACTTTTACAATAAAGTTTAAAAGAAAAACAACCACATCCCACTCAGTAAGTGGCTGTATTACTTAGGCATGTTACCTTACCCCTTAGCCCTCAGCCTTGGTTCCCACATCTAAAAAGACAATAATCCCTGGCTCATAGTTTGGTACAGGACTAAATTAAATGACTGAAGTGAAATGCTTGAAACGAGTGAGTCCTCTTACACATGGGAGCTGTTAACAGTAGCTACTGCTGATGGCTGGGGCAAGAAGGAAAACGAGGCGAAATGGGGGCAGCGGGGCCTTGCAGAGAAAAGCAACCGCTCTGGGGAAAGTTCGCCATGAAGCCAGAGCGTGTCTGAAAACGGCCGCCGTATTACCATTCCTAAACTGGGCTTCCAGGGGGGCTGCTCTGAGGGAGTTTTCTTGCAATACCTCCCTCCCAGGCGGACTTTGAATTCCTCTGGGGACTCCAGCCTTGGCTCACAATCCAAATGACAGTCCACGGAAAGGTCACAAAGAGTGGCTCAGAAAAGGATGCGCCCCCCAGCTCCCTCGCAAACTCAGAGACAAACAGGGCAGCTTCTGGGTGAGGCGGGGCAGGCAGGGAGTACTCACACCTGGAAGGCTCCTATCTGAGTTCTAAAGAGAACAAGAGGTCCCCAAAGATGTCCCAGGGGAGTCAGGCGTTAGCACAGGGAGGGCCCCACCCCCTTCATGGGGTGGAGTCCAAGTGGCCATTCACGTCCCTAAAGGTCAAAAACTATGTTTGCAGTGTCTCTAGTTGTATGTGATGAATTTTTACATTATTATCTTCAAAATTATCACTGCTATGTATGAATTTCACCAGTGGTTTGCCATTTAAAAATGACACACCCCCCCAAATTTATTTCCCCTTAAGGCCTATTCCTTCCCCAGAGCCTCACGGGGATGGAGAGGGCTGGAGGTGGCAGTGGCACAAAGCTGGGAGCCCTTCCCAAATCCCCTGGGGGTATCTCACCCTTGGCTCGAGCCACCAAGACCCTCTGCGTCCGCCCGGCCTCTACCTTGGGATACCCACACAGAAGGCCTCTGGTTTCAGTCAAATGCCATCTCACTCACTCGTGCTTTCTTTTCTTTCTTCTTTTCCAAGATGAAAGCTAATAGGATGATTCATTCTCTTAAGTCAACTCATGAGAAGAAAGGAAGTCACCCAAGTTCCCAATTCTCTCTCCTTTGAACACCAGCCACTCCATGGCTCACCCCCATATGCATTTCAGAGAGATGCAATAACAAAGAAGAATTTCCACTAAAAAGCCCATCTTTCACCTTGCCTTTCATGTGTCAAGAATTTGCTATCTGTATCCATAGCAGTTAGTTCTAAGTTTCCGAAGCTGTCACAGCTGAGGGCTGAGTTGGGATGTAAAGACAGGCTTCCAAATAAAATGATAGGAAAGTGATAGGAGATCCCTATCCAAATAAAGTGATAGGAGAGCAAAGAGACACATGGCCCTTAAATCCACAGCGCAGCCCCTCAAGGCACAGAGTAAAAATCCACCCAGAAAATGTCCTTCTCTGTCCCTGTCGGCTCTCTTCAGCTCTGTCCCAAACTTAGAAACAGCTGTTTCCCTATAACTCCAAAAAAAGCTCTCATATGCCCCATCTCCTCATTCTTTCCAACACTGTGATCTGTACACTTAATCTGCCTCCAGGCTCAGCTTATCCCTCCCTCAGCTTGTCAAATAAGAAGAGGAACAGTCAAGGAGTAAGAAGTACAAC